TATTTTACTTTTTTTATTTTTCATTTCACAAATTTTAGCTTTTGCCATATTTATAATTACACGTATTCCCAAAGGGATTTATTAAAAAATTTTTTCAGATCAAGAATTCTAATTCCTCTTCATGTAAACTAAATTTGACCTAAGTTTGATCTTTCCGGAACGATCGTACCGTGATAATCCGCAGGATTTATGATATCTTTAAATCTTGCAACGTCAATAATTCGGTTCAAGTTTTACCAAAACGGACAATTTTGGTGTCGTTCGACTCAGCTCAAAATGCTCTTTCAAAATAGCTAGTCTTTTTAAAGTTATGATTGAAATTAGCGTTGAAATAATCGGATGAAGATTTAAAATTGATGTAGTTTAAAATTTTTAGGAGAGAATCAATCTGCTTTAGTGATGAATTTATAGGGAGGAATGTTCCACACAAAAAAGCAGTTGAACATGTGGTTATGGGAACACTTTTTAAGAAGATATAAGTATAAAATGCGGACTTAAAAAGTCAACTTTTGAGATCTTGAATTAAAATGCGATTTCGATGGCCTATGTTGTAGAGCGTCACATGAAACCCAGAAAAATATATACTTTTTTAGGAGGCCAATTGATTCTTAGAAAGTTATATGGCAAAATATATTAGTTTTCGAATTTTCGGGAACCTATAACTCAGCCCAATCTAGTCAGATTTCGTTGATTTTGGTGTCATTCGACGCAGCTCGACGAGTACTTTCGAATAAGCTATTAATCCCAATTTCGAATTTTTATTCCAAAAACAGCTTGGTCCCCCCTATTGTTTATAATTTTCAGGAGCCTGTAACTCGACTCAATCAAAACAGATTTTAGTGATTTTGGTGTCATTCGACGTAGCTTAATGAGACCTATCAAACGAGCTATTAATCTCGTTTTCGAATTTTTACCCCAAAAATCAGCTTGGTCCCCCCTATGGTATTTTGGTCTTTGAGAGCTTGTAACTCGACTCAATTAAGTCAGCTCGTGTTGATTTTGGTGTCATTCGACTCAGCTCAACGAGATCTGTTTAATGAGATATTAATCTCATTTTCGAATTTTTGAAACTGAAAAGAAACAGCCGCGGTAATACCAACGCTGCTAACGTAGCGAATTCTAGCTGCGTGCAAAGAGCTCATGGTCGAAAAATTCGAAAATGAGATTAATATCTAATTTAATAGATCTCGTCGAGCTGCGTCGAATGACACCAAAATCACCGAAATCTGACTTGATCGAGCAGAGTTACATGCCCAAGAAATTTAAAAACCATAGGGGGGACCAAGCTGATTTTTAGTTTGAAAATTCGAAAATGAGTTTTATAGATCATTCGACAGATCTCGTCGAGCTGCGTCGAATGACACCAAAATCAACAAAATCTGACTTGATCGAGCCGAGTTACAGGCTCCCAAACATTGAAAACCATAGGGGGGACCAAGCTATTTTTGTAATAAAAATTCAAAAATGAGATTAATAGCTCATTCGACAGAACTCGCCGAGCTGCGTCGAATGACACCAAAATTACCGAAATCTGACATGATCGAGCCGAGTTACAGGCTTTCGAATATTGAAAACCATAGGGGGGACCAAGCTGTTTTTGAATTAAAAATTCAAAAATGAGGCGATTATATCATTCGACAGAACTCTTCAAGCTCCGTCGAATGACACCAAAATTACCGAAATCTGACATGATCGAGCCGAGTTACAGGCTTTCGAATATTGAAAACCATAGGGGGACCAAGCTGTTTTTGAATTAAAAATTCAAAAATGAGGTTAATAGAGCATTCGAAAGAATAGCCGAGATGCGTCGACTGACACCAACAACACCGAAATCAGACTTGATCAGGCCGAGTCGAATGGCTTCTAAAAATTGAAAACCATAAAGAGGGCCACGCTATTTTCGGATTTAAAATTCGGAAATTAGAATAATAGCTCATTTGTTAACATTTATATATTTACAAAATCTTTCAGTATCAGACTGAGAGTTATAAGTGAGACTCAAGTGTCTTTTTTACTAAAAATTTATTTTTTAATATTCTTATTAATTTTTAGAATTTTTTAAATTCATTTCCACTGATTTTAGCCTTCAGACTCAAATATTCCACCCTCAGACTCAAGTGACCCCTTCAAAAAATTTTCAAAAAATTCGCTTGATTTTTACACGTCGAATGACACCTCAATCATATTTTTCCAATAACTACTTCAAAAGTTACAAAAAACGCCTCACCGTTGCTTAACTTAACAGATCGGACGGTCTAGATCGTCAAAATTAAAAAGTTTTCCCCAAAATTTTAATTTTTTTAAAAAATCATAACTTTTTCAAAAAAAGTCGAAAAAGCATAAAACAAACCTTATTCGATGCAGAATTTAATTCTCTATTTTCCATACTGCAACACTTTTTAGCTATCTTCAAAATAAAATATGGTTAAGGTCAACTTTATACATTTTTCTCAAAAATGCACTTTTTACTCCATATCTTTTTTTCTGTTAGTCCAATCAACCTGAAACCAACTTTTTTCTTATGAAACCCACAACGCTCTACAACTTTTCTCCCAACCACTTTTTGCTCCCATTCCTCTAAACACCTTAAATCCAAAGTTACCACTTTGACATAAAAGCTTGTAAACAGCACATCTACCCTTCAAGTTGTCAGAACGACTTCAACTCTTTTTCTATCATATTCGAAATATGCTCTAGATGATACCTTGTAACTGACTCAACATTGCCCGATTTCGTCTTCACATTCAAATTTCCCATCAAAATTTCGCAATTTCATGTTTTTTCGAAATATCTAAAAAACTCGCCCCTTTCCCCCAACTTTTGGAGGTTTTCCTGAAAACTACATTAAATTTCCCATCTATAGCAAAAAACCCCACCCCTCTACAACCTCTCAAACTTCAAAAGGACTTTTTTTTAGCTGACTGCCTTTTTACTATTATATATAGATAATTTGAAATAAAAATTTAGTCTTCTTGATTTTTTTAAAAATAAAGGTGCAGAATATTTTCTGCAAAGACTGTCTTGAGTCTTGACTTTAAACTTTTTTTGAATTTTTGTTTTTGGTTTTGGTGAGGTAGAAAGTAAAAGTGAGGTAAAAAACAAAAAATTTGACTTCGTTTTTGAGTAAAGATTAGTCTCAGTTTTTAAGTCAGATTTCACTTTCACAACACTCCAACATTTACTTTTAGGAAGAATATCCTCACTCAGTTACAAGGTGCCCTTTTCCTTTTAACCTTAATTTTCTGCTTAAGGGGTGTTGTGTAAATGAAATCCAATTTTTATAAAAACAAAATAATTTAGATTTCATTTTTTAATAATTTATATTCAGTTGTTTTACTTCTTTTTGAAAATTTTCTCATAATATTTTCTATCCCCTTACTCACATTTCTTGTTAATTGTTTTAAATTTAATTTTTTATTTATTTTTAAATTTTTTCCAAATTTAGTAGTAATTACTTTCTTTTTATTTTTTAATTTAAAATTTTTCTTACTTTCTTTTATCCATTTATCTTTTAAATTTTTTAAAAATTCTCTAGCTTCTTTTTCAATTTTTTTAGATTTTTTCTTTTCAAACTTTTCTGTTTCTATTTCATTTGAATTTTTAATATCTTTTTTATTTGTCGATTTATACATCTCTTCACAATAATCATTTAAATTAGCAGTAAACTTCTAAAAAAACATAAAATTTCTCCAAAATATTTTCCTTTCCTTCCTAATATACCCGGATTGGGCACTACATCATTTTAAAACTCAGAAGGATTAAAAATCGGAATTCTGTGGAAGGCTGAAGGCAAAAATGGAAGACATCCAAAACCTTCTATATATTATCCCTCTATTATGTCTTAAAATTATTTTTAAAAACTTAATACAGCGTGTTTCATGCCGACAGCTTTTAAATTAATGCTTGCAAAAGGATTTTTAATTTCTGGAATTTTATTCTGCGTTTCTCCGTTCTTTTTAATTAAAATTTTTAATTTTTTGGGGTCTTCCAAAAATCCTTCGATTCCCGGATATTCTCTTATAATTTTCTCTTTTATATTTTCTTCTTTACCCTCCTCATTTTCTTCTTCATTACTTCTTTCAAAACTAAAAATTTAAATTAATTTAGACAATTTATTTAGGTAATTTACATATTTCCTTCCAATTCTACTATTTCTCCTTCAGATTGTGAAGGAATTAGAGGTATATTTTGATTATCTTCTTCATTTTCCTTTACACTTTCTACAAACCCAACAAAAAATAAAAAGAAGACAAAAATATAAAAATTCCACATTTTTCTATAAATATAATTTTTTCCTTAAAATTCTTTTGAAGAATTACCCAAAACAACCGACTGACAGATTCTTTTAACAAAATTTGATTTAAACAAACTAGGCTAGGAAGTTAGGGGAGAGTGGGGACCTTTGTTTCTCATACAATAATTAAATTTATATAAAAAGTTTTAAAAATGAATATTTAATTCGCTTTATTAGCTATTTTTATAAAGGGTTTCTCGTCTAAGAAGTTGACATGTGGAATCTGTTACACGTTACATAAATATTGACAATAAAATTAAAAATGTCTAAGGAGGGAGAGAAGGGACTTTTATTCAAATTATATCCCAGTCCTGTCGAATTTTGGCTACAACCTCCAAAACTATAAATTATGTAGTTTATATTTAAATTTATATTGTTGTCTCCTTCTTTTTAAACAAATGACTGGATTTGTTTAAAGGGAGACAATACAAATTTAAATATTTATAAACTACATAATTTATAGTTTTGGAGGTTGTAGTCTATTCTAAAATTCGACATTTATTGTTTGACGGGCTAATTATTCTTAAAAAGTTTCAAATAATTTATTTTTTTATATAATAAAAACAAAAAATTTAGAAACTGCACATCAAAAAGTAATTTTCAATAAATAAAAATAAATTAAAAAATATTCAGGAATGTGTGAGAATCAATCAAAAAATTTCGAGTATTAAATCTTTTAAAAACATGGCTAGACAGAACAAACAAACTATCCAGGCAGATCTAGCCTATAAGGATCAGAGAAAAGTGAAGGAGATTCCCTTAGTTCTAAATTACTTCCAGGATTTCCAGAATCTGCTGAAGCTGGAGGTGGAACTGACCAATTAGCAAGTAGGGGTGGCGTTGATCTTTCCTCTTCTGAAATTTCTTTTTTTTAAGTTTTTTACCAAAATATTTTTTAAAGATTTAGTTCCCCAATTCCCGTAGCTAAAATTCCCCTTTCATTATCTGTGATAAGTGTAGGGATGTGACAAGTGTATTTAATATATAAATTTAACTGATTACCCGTTGTCCCTTCAAGTTTTCGCATCAATAAACTAATATTGGCAAGGCGAGGGCCAAAAGGGGAGTTAAAAGGCATTGCTTCTTCCTCTACATCTCCTCCTTCTGATAAAGGTAAAGATGTTTCTGCCATTTCTAGAGAATTACTTCCCCCTCTTTTTGAAAAAAAAATGCCTGAATTATTATTATTTTGCTGATAATTTAATGTTTGTATAGTTGGTGAATGTTGAAGACTTTGAGGGGGAGAACAATTTGATTGTTGATATTTTTCAGAAATGTTTGAGGCTATATTTAAACAGGTTTGTTGCTGTTGTGGACTTATTTGTTGTTGTGGATTTATTAATACATTATTTAGGGCTATTGATGATTCTCGTGATTTTAACGACAAAGAGTCCATCTAATGAAAAAAAAGAATTGAATTTACATTTCCTTATTTTTGTAGTTTTTAAAGTAAATAAGGCCATAGTTTCCGATTTTATTTCAATATAAATACGAGCCCTAATAACTATCTATACATATTTCTGTTAGTTTTGCAGTGTTGGAAAAATCATGGATAGTGGTTTGGACTTAATTTCAAGGACTCAAAATACCAAAAGGGTACAAATAAACCTTTTAAAAGTTCCCTAAAGAATCAAAACAATCACTCCAACAATTTTCATTTATTTACACACAAACAATATTTACAAAACATCACACAGGAAAATAGGGACAATTAGAATCACACAAGAAAATATGGGGAAATTACATGATAGATATACAATTATGAGGGAGAAATGTTTTTCCTATTATTATCGCATTTTGGCGTCTCATCTTCCATCTACCGCTTACATGTTGTACTCGATTGGAAGGTTCTTGCGGCGCACCATACCGTCACCCTGGAACCACTCGCGGCGGAATTGCTTGGCTGCTCCTTCCGGGGTGTTGGTCCATTCGACGGTGACACGGTCGTTGTTGGTCGCTTCCGCAGCCGGATCGAAGGCGTCACAAGAGATGGCGATGTTGATGGCCTCCTTCGGGTCGAGCACACCGTTGGGCGGGTCCATGTTCAGACGGCGAGGGTTGGTCGTCTTGAAGGCGAAGCCGATACGATGCCCACCAGAGTTGATGATCTGTAGAAGTGAAAAGGAAAATATTTATTAGTGGTTAGATTAACAAAAAAGCTGGAAACTTCACCTTCATGTAGTAGGTGTGCTTGTCATCGAACGGCGCGTTGAAGATGACCTTCACGGCAGGAAGAGTCGTGATGTCGCCAGGTGGAACAGATGCCATTGTAGAGAACGGTTTGATGTTGTAGCTGGAATTGAAGTTGAAGTGAACTGGTTGATACCGACTGGCGTTATATTGGTTCTTTTATACCTTTATGATCGAGAATAGAATCCTTAAGAGAGGAACTATAAAAACCCTTGTTGTACGCCAGTTCCCCAACTTGCTTTCTGTTCAACTACACAAACAACGACAACAAACCGTTCTCAACAATGGCTTCTGTTCCACCCGGCGACATCACAACGCTTCCTGCTGTGAAGGTCATCTTCAACGCGCCGTTTGACGACAAGCACACCTACTACATGAAGGTGAAGTTTCCAGCTTTTTTGTTAATCTAACCACTAATAAATATTTTCCTTTTCACTATTACAGATCATCAACTCTGGTGGGCATCGTATCGGCTTCGCCTTCAAGACGACCAACCCTCGCCGTCTGAACATGGACCCGCCCAACGGTGTGCTCGACCCGAAGGAGGCCATCAACATCGCCATCTCTTGCGACGCCTTCGATCCGGCTGCGGAAGCGACCAACAACGACCGTGTCACCGTCGAATGGACCAACACCCCGGAAGGAGCAGCCAAGCAATTCCGCCGCGAGTGGTTCCAGGGTGACGGTATGGTGCGCCGCAAGAACCTTCCAATCGAGTACAACATGTAAGCGGTAGATGGAAGATGATGAAGCCAAAGTGTGATGATAATAGGAAAAACATTTCTCCCTTCATAATTGTATATCTATATGTAATTTCTCCCTGTTTTCTTGTGTGATTCTTATTGTCCCTATTTTCTTGTGTAAATATGTATTGTTCGTAATAAATTTGGAGTGAATTTTTGTATTGTTTAGATAGCCTTTACTGGGCAAATTGTCTTACTTGTATCTTTTACAAGTCTTTTATTAACCTTTTTTCAACTATAAGTATGGTTATGGGATTTATAGCCTGTAGATTCCCAACAAATAATTAAAGTTTTTCAGAGTTTCACAAATTTTAATTTCCTAAGCCGTTTACCCTCTTAAAATCATTTTCCAAAACTCCCTTTCCACTTTTACCTCATTCGCCTCAGTAATTCTTTGGAGAGCATCATAAACTCTTTTGTTTGTTTTTCTTGTACGTTTTTCTTCCCTCCAACTTGGCATTTGTCCAAATTTTATAGTTCTAGCATTATTTCTCTCATTTTCATTTTTGCTTTCCTCTTCATCCGCAGTTGTAGTTGTTGCTTGTTTAAATTGTATATTTGCATGTTGAAATGCATCAGCCGAACTTCTCCGATAAAAAAGCAAAAGAAATAATAGAAATAATAATAAAAGTAATCCAACAAATAAAAGAATAATTAATAAAGTCGTTGTCTCTAAAATAACTTTTCCATCACTAACACCAACAAAACGAGTTGAAATATCACGAAGAGAAGAAAATTCTAATGAAGGGGAATGATGATTATCTGTTCGGCGAGTTGGTGTACGAAGATCACATGCTTTCCCTGTCCATCCATCAAAACACAAACATTGTCCTGCACTTGTACAGTCCTTAAATAAAAAAGTATGTAGGTTTGGACAATAGATTAAGAGTAGAGCCCGGACGGAGGGCTCGGTCGATATTTTTTCGATAAATATCGAAAAATACCGAATACCGAAAAATATCGAAAAAACCAAAATTTTCTCGGTCGATATTTTTTCGATAAATATCGAAAAACATCGAAATCGAAAAATATCGATAAAAAAGTCTCGATATTTTTCGATTTTTCAAAAATTTTTCTATAACCAATGAAAAACAGAATAGACCTAATAGTTTAATGAGATTAAGATTGATTAAATGGATATTGGTGAATTTGTTCGGATTAAATGTAATATCAATGGATTTGTATTTGATATCGAAGAATCAAGGGGATATAAGTGGATTTTAACTAGGGATAATGGAATTTTAAACAATTAAGGGTGATATTGAAGGATTGAGTGTGTATCAAGAGATTGAGAGGTATTAAGACTGTATTGTGGATTTGTGAGATCAGGAGGGATATCAAGGGATTTGTGGATTAAGAGGGATATCGGCGGATAAAAAGATATCAGAGGATAAAAAATCTTGGCATTTGATATCCGTTTTGATATTCATCTCTCCCAAAGTTCCGTCTTGATCCCTCGAGATCCATTTTTACCACTTAATCCTCTATAAGTTATACAAATAGTCGATTACCCCGGATATCCACAATATCCGTCATAATCCTTGGATATCTCAAATATCCCACCAAATCTTCAGATATCCCAACAAGTTACTCTTAACCCACTGAAATATCCCTTAATCTACCGACATCTTTCTTAATTCATATCAGTGTATATCAGTGTTACCATATACATATTATCTCACTCTCATATCGCTTTGGCAAACTAAATCGTGAATATAGAAGAAACCTTTCTCCTTTTCTTGCGCCGCAGGCGAAAATTTTTTGAATTTCCGATGGGCAATAAGCAAAAATGCATCCTTTTTGGTGCCAAAAATCGAAATTTTTGTCAGAAATGACGTTCGATATTTTTTTCGATTTTTTGAAATTTGGTCGGTCGATTGTTTCGATTTTTAAATTTTGTCGGTCGATATTTTTCGATAAATATCGAAAAAATATCGAATACCGAAAAATATCGAAAAAGTCAAAATTTTGTCGGTCGATATTTTTTCGATAAATATCGAAAAAAATATCGAAAAATATCGATAATTATCGATAAAAAATCGTATCGAGCCGGGCTCTAATTAAGAGTTCTGAAAGAATGTGACATTCCTGAAGGAAATCCCAGAACTTTTATTTGACGACCCTAATGAATTTGAATAGATTTAAATAAAATTTTCAATAATAATTCCTTAATTTAACTCAATTTATGGATCCCTAACTAGAACTTTTCCATCACTAACACTTTTTCAATAATAAAAAAAAAAATTTTCAATAATTGAAAATTTAAATAAAATTTTCAATAATAATTTTTACCCCATGGTATTGTTGGAACTGGAAATTGAGGCCAAAAAAAATAAGACTCCTATTACCTAGCAGTAAGAATTAAATGGAGGGAGAATTTTATAAGTCCTTAATTTAACTCAATTTATGGATCCCTAACTAGAATAGATTTAAATAAAATTTTCAATAATAATTTTTACCCCATGTCCAGAACATTGAGAAATATTAGAACCACTGCTTGGGCACTTGACAGATGGAGAGACTTGAGCAAGTGGAAGGCAAACAGTTCTAATGCAAACACGTCCTTCACCGCAGGAAGTTCCATCTTTAACAAAGCCAAGAGGAGAATTTGTGACGACCCTAATGAATTTGAATATTTTCTTAGTTGCCAATACTTCAAATCCTTAAAACTTTCACTTAATCAAAAAATTTTACTTGCACTGAACTTGACGTTCTTCTTGTACAAATTGGAAAGCAAAAGCTGTAGCGTTAGGTATTGTTGGACTTGCTGATCCTTCATGGCATTGAAGCAATCCACACCTCTCGTTTTCGGGTGCACACTCTACAAACTTTCCCTCGGTATCACGCCCACAATTCCCATATTCTAAAGCATGTCCGTTTTTACTAAAACAAAGTGATTCTGCTACTCGAGAGCCTGAAAAAATTAAAAAATGTTAGAGATTGGTAGACACTTTATAGTCTAGTTATAAAATTAACCCTCATTTTTAGATATCCCCAATTTAAAATATTCCTCTATTTACTCCTTATTTTTCAGCTCTAAAGAGGGTATCTAAAAATGAAGTTTAACTAGCCCATAACAAATAGTACCTTTTCCCCAAATCTCTCTACATTGTTCATCACTATCCACACAATCCCCCTGCCAACATTGCCCATTATTTCCCAATCCACAATGTGTCCCATCGAGTAAATGACTATCAGGCGGGCATTCACCACTTTTTCCATCACATCTTTCCGCTACATCACAAATTGAACGGGTTGGTCGACATAAATGTCCGGATGGACGAACATGACAACGATGGCAACATTCCTCATGTGCTAAATTTAAAGAAGAAAATCCCTCATTCTTTAGTTAATTGAATTTAAAATTATTTTTAAGTTAAAATACTCGAATTTAAATTGACAAAGAAATATAAAAATTAACCAATTTTGCGTGTAAAAAATAAAAAAAAGAATTTTACGTTTTTGTCAACCAAGCGTTAACTATTTTTGAGTAAATTACAAAAAAAAATCTTTTTTAATACCCACAGTAATGGATTCTTATTTTCTTAAGGTTCATTTGCAGATTTTAAAAATAAAATGAAACTTAAAAGAATCTAATTAAATTGTCAGAAAATAAAAAAATAAATTTCAACTAAAAACAGCTTTATGAGAATTTAAGAGAATAATTTATTTATTTATTTATTTACCAGCACAATTGGCGTGTGGCCGCAGTCTACAAGTAAAAGGATCACAACAAGGGTCAGTACATTGATCCCGCCTTCCACAATCACACTCCTCTCCTTGATCTACTTGTCCATTTCCACAAAGAAAAGACGGAGAAAATTGTGAAAATAAATTACTAGATTTTAAAAGACATTCCATTTTTGGATCAGCAGAACGTTTTCTTTCAAGTCTAGCTGAAGAACAAGCAGAAAAATGCCAAGGAAAATGGTCAAATTGACTGAAAAATTTTTTAAAATTAAAAAAAATATTTTTTGACACAAATTTACCCCTTACTACCACTCATAATACACTCTTCCATATCACAACCACATTCAGCCAAATCATGTTCTAAACCAAGTATATGACCCAAAGAATGAGCAAATGATAATGCTGCTGTTTGTGGTCCATATAAATTAAATATCTAAAGAAAAATTAAAATAATTTAATAGAAAAATGTGTTTTTAATAATTTAAAAACAAAATTTTTTTCTGGTTAAAAAAAAGGAAAAAATCCTTTTTGCCACCCCCACCTATATCTAGATAAAAAAATTTTTGTAGCTGTCAATAAACAAAATGAGATTCAATTAGATTCAAATTAATTATTTGAAGGTTTCCTTAGTCTTGCAAATAAAGTAAAATCTCGATATATCATTGAGAATGGACTAAATCGACGTGCAAAGGAAAGTATCATAGACCAATGAGATGTTGTTATATCCTGATAAAACTTTACCTGAGTAAAGCCAACAGCCCTCCCACTACAAACACTATTATCTACATTTAAAGCATTATTTTGTTGTTGTTTATTTAAATTAGTTAAATATATTGTTACATCTTTCTCTTCTTTATATAATTTATTAATTATAAAATCAAGTAAATCATCGAGTAATTGATTGGAATTATTTTTATTTAAATTCTCAATTAAAGCAAAATAATTTAAAGAAATTCTTATATTTAATCCTTTTTTAAATATTAAATCAGCAATATTTAAAGCATTTAATGAATATTCTAATAATTTTAGTTGGCCAATATTGAATAAATATTGCTGTAAATATGAGGGATTATTTATTTAAATTTTAGTTGAAAATGATTGGAATTCTTTATATTCTACAGGAAAAACGGTAATTCCAAGGCTGGTCCCCCCCTTTTTTTCCTTTCTATTTTTTTCGATTTTTTAAACTTTTTATGGCAAATTATATATCATTCGAAAGAGCTCTTCAAGCTGAGTTGAATGGTACTAGATTCATCGAAATCGGACTTAAATAAACATAGTTATGAGCATTTGTTTTAATCCCTTTCAGCATTACAAAAAGCACGCCCATCGAGGATTTAGCTTCATAATCCTGTTCAGATTAGCCAAATCTAACCGATCATAGTATCATTCTACTCAGCTCGAACAGCTCTTTCGAATGATATATTGAAAATTATATGCCAAGCAAAAAAGCTCAAAATGGTCAGGGGAACAGAAAAAAAAGGGGGGGGGGCCAGCCTTGGAATTACCGGAAAAACTAAAATATTTGGTTCTTTAACAAGAAGAGCTCTAGTAGGTTAATATTATTTCCCAAATTATTATCACAGAAAATCCCCCACTTGATTCTTCCCCATTTCCATTCAATTCTAAATCTATTCCCTTACCATTTCTTTATTAACAAGCAAAGCAATATCCAAAAATAATCTTTGTTGCCTCAAACGTCTCAAATTTTCTTCTCCTTCACTTTTCCTCTTCCCTCTAAATTTTTTTGTCCTTTTCCGTCTTCTTTTGATAAATTTTTCTTGTTGTTGTCCTTCAATATCATTACCACTATCCCTTCCACATTCTGTTCCATTCCCAAAAACTCGAAAGAGTACATGAGGATGTCTTTTCCCTTTATCTCCCCCTTCTAACGGCCAAATTCCCAAAGCACTTCCATTTGCAAATGCCAGCAATCCCCAAAGGCCGTCACAAGTTGACAGAGTGACCATTGACCCTGGCTCTCCAATAACTGTGCCCTTTAAAAAAGAGAAAAAGTGTTTGAGTGAAAAAAAGAGAGAGAATATGTAAATATACATATCGATCAAGTTACTGGAAATGTTCGGGAATACATAAAGCTTTTAGAAAAGATGGAAGTCTTGAAATCCATTTAAGGTTAGTAAAAAATATTTCTATGTTCAATCATCTCGTAACAGACTCAGAAAAGTCAGTTTTACACATTCCCCCAATTTTCCATCAAAACTTTGTAAATAAAAACACCTGATAAAAACAATTCTCAACATCCGAAAGCCTAATCACTTCCATATCTTGTTCAGATTGTATTGCTGTTTTATCAATTAACTGTGCCTAAAATATTACCAAATACTTATACTTCAATTCAAAAACCACCTCATTTTTATTTTCCCCTCCACCCAACAAATGTTCATTTAAATTTAAAGCTATCCTCAATCTTTGATTAAGTAAAACACTGCTCCTCAAAACAAAGCTAACTTGTCGAAAATGTTGAATTGGTGTTGTGTTTAAAAAATGTTCTCTTGTATCGATTCCCATTCTTTCTCTTGATTTTTCGCGCAATTGAAAGGGGTGGATAATCTGGAGGGGAATTGAATTTTTAATTAATTAGTAGTTTTTGTGTAATAATACATAAACCCTAGAAGTTTTCAAACATTTCTTATGACCGATTTAAATTTAGAAAAAACATTTTATCCATTAAAATTTCTCAGGTACCTATTTTTTTATTAATTCAGAGGATGATCTTGTGGGTTTACTTAACAAACTAAAAAAATATAATTGTCCTCTCCCTCCTTTTTAGATTTTCCAATTTAATTACCTCATAGGATCCTTCAGTTAATTGGTCAATAAATTGTTTATTGGCCAATGAATGCCTCAATTGGTTAGAATTAACGACAAAAATTAATTGGCCGATCAGAATAAAAGAAAAAAGTGAAAACATGGAAATAATGTAAATGTTGCTGTAAGGGGAAAAATAAATGAGTTTTGGGTTTAAAGCACGCTTTTGCTCGGAAAATGGCCAAACAAATAAAAAGGGGAAAAGTAGAAAGATGAGGAGTAGTTAGGGGAGGAGGAGGAGGTTGGAAAATTGGAAGAGAAAAAAGAAGAGAAAACATGGGGGACGCCATCACCGAAGTATTATATGGACGAAGGATGGTGAAGGAGGAAGGGGAGGTTATGGACGCGACCTAGAGAAATGATGGGAGAAATTGAAGAAAAAATGAGGAAAGGGGGGGGGGGATATATCGAGCGCGAGTGAGTGACCAGCAGAGAATTTATATATCCTCTTCTTCAATTTGTATATGGGGGAATGGGGACGGGAACGTCTGCTGGGGGTGTATGAATAATTAACAAAAATTGATGGAAATTTTTTGAGAATATCCTTTAAGTATTCTTTTTAATAAATTTCTAAATTAGTGTTTTTAAAGTTGAAAAATCTTTTTTGCCAAAGATATACATATGTACATATTTGTTATCAAAAAATTCTTAAATTCTTTTGGAGAATTAATCACAATTTAAATATTTTTCACTGCCCAAAAATCCTTTTTCCTCTTAAATTTTCCTCACAACAATTTATTCACATTATTTTGTTAAAAGGAGGTTGGAAGGAGGTTCAATTTCATATACTATGAAAAAAAGATAGATGAACCGGTAAAATTAAAAAGGGAAGAATTGAAGAGGCAAAATAAAGATGAATGGCAGATAAAAACAAAAGAAAGATTTCGAGTTAAAAAAGAAGATAGATGGCATGTTACAAGAATATGATGACTCATTTTTATGGGGACACTTCTCTAATTTAATTTTGAATAAAATAATTTTTCACATTATTTAAATTTTTATGTCGGCGTTTTACAGACAGCTAGCCAAATGAATAAATATCCAAAACACAAATCATCTTAGATCATCCGACACCTCATGAATCCCAATCAGACGTGGGCGAAACGTTTCGTTTCGTTTCGTTGTTTCGTATGTTTCGTATGATTTTTACTGTTTCGTCTCGTTTCGTTACGAAACACTTTTAAATTTGTTTCGTTTCGTTTCGTTACGAAACACCTGTGATTTTTCAACGAAACGAAACAATTTTTTAAGCCTAAACTAAGGCCAAAATCTATAAAATTTACCATCTTTTATTGAAAATTTAAAAAATTTTCGCCTGCGGCGCTGAAAAAAGAAGAATTTCGGCTTCTTGGCCTTCCCAAATTGTCAAAATTTTCGCCTGCGGCGCTGAAAAAGGAAGATATCAATTACTTATATACTACAAATCCGTTTATACTCTACTCCCTAATCCACATATACATATTACTTAATAGACGACAAATTCTATTACCGGACTCGCATCATAATTTAAAAATTGCGGATTGCGAGTTGCGGAAATACTGGAACCGGAACTTCCGGCGAAGCACTAGCTTATATCGCCTTCCTCTCGAAATGGAGATATGGAGACAATTTGGGTAGGCAATGGAGCAAGCTAGTGAATTTTTTGGCCTACGGCCTTTCAAAATTTTAAAATTTTTCGTCTGCGGCGCTTAAAATAAAATTTTACTTGAAAAATATTCAATCTTATTTGAAAAAAAGCGTCGCCAAAAATTCGGCTTCGAAAATGATTGACCCCCCCCCCCCCCTTCCCCGAAAATTTTCCTTGCTACGGGCCTGGCTTATGGGACACAATTGTTGTAAATAAACCAATAACTAAATCATTTATAATAGAGCCCGGCTCGATACGATATTTTTTCGATATTTTTCGATATATATTTTTCGATATTATCGAAAAAATATCGACCGAGAAAATTTTGATTTTTTCGATATTTTTCGATATTCGGTATTTTTCGGTATTTATCAAAAAAATATCGACCGAGCCCTCCGTCCGGGCTCTAATTTATAAGGCATAGGCGACTAATAAAGTATTTGAGGTCGAATAATTGCGAAATAAATGCAGTTTTGAAAATTTTTTGAATATTAAAATGTTTCGTTTTGTTTCGTTTCGTTTCGTAAGATTTTGGTTGTTTCGTTTCGTTTCGTTAACGAAACGATTTTTAAAAAATTTTGTTTCGTTTCGTTTCGTCAGAAAAAAATTTTGAGTTTCGCCCAGGTCTGATCCCAATAATACACATGTAAATATAATTTGCCCTATAAACTCTCCCCCATAGCTCAACGAGATCCAGTTAAAATTTCTTTGTAGGTATACTTTATCTACGTTGATGTTACTCCCAGCGATTTAAACAAGCAATTGGAAATTATGATGAGATTGAACAGGACTGGAAGAGAGTTAAGTACAAGGTTCCGGATTGATCCGAAGAAAATCAAATTTAAGATTCGAATTAAGAATCTCTTAATTTCAACCAATTTCTTGACATTTAAAAAAATATTTTCGTCCCTCTCATTTGTTTTTTTTTCTAAATTCCTAGATTTTCTCCTTTCTTTTTGCTACCCCTTCCCCCCTTATTTTTATTTTCTTCTTTCCCATTTTCCAATCTTCTTTCTTATTTTTCTTCCGCATCTGACCCCGTCCTTTTTTCACATTTCTTTTTTACTACAGTCCCCCCCCCTCTTTCTTCTTTTCTCTCAGTTACAGCCATTCATCCTTCACATCTCTTTTGCACACAAAACAGTGGGGGAGCACTCTTTTCCCTCGCCCCTTCCATCATCCTCTCTTCTATGAAAGAAGAGAAAGGCTGGTCGTCAGAAATATCCTCTCTCTTTATTTCTTCTTTTATATATTCGTTGACTGCTTCCTTTTCAAATGCTTTTTTTTTGTGAAGGGGTTGTTTGGGCGCAGAGGATGTTTGGATGCGCCCTTAATAAAAAGTATACGGTATATTTTTTACAGATGCCGTTTCTTTGGATTTCGAAAAGATACTAAAAACCATACATAATTTCAGAAATAATAAATCCTTGGAATCACTGACAATTATGTAGATATTCAGATAAAAGGTTCGCAATTTCAAGACTTGCGCCCTAATATTCCCGCGCCCAAAAATCTCATTCCTTTTCAAATTCTTTTTACTTCTTTTGCCTCTTCCCCATTTACTCCGCCAGCCCCGTCAAAATCGATACTAACATTTTCTACTCTTTTTTCATTCTTCCCTTTGCTTATTTCTTTTTTTCTTATTTTACCATCGTCTTGTCAAATGGCCGTCATCCGCCCCCGGTCGTCGCCCTTTGCCTTCCTTCTTTTTCTAAACTTCCCTTTGCTTTTCTTTATTTTTCAGTTTATCCCTTTTCTTTTTATACTAAACACAACTACTTCTTCTTTTTCATCAGTCCATTGCAGGTCGTCCTCTTTTTGCCATCTTCTTTTCTTTCATTTCTTTTTTGCCACTTTTAAAGAAAAGAAAAGCTTTTTTTATATTTTTAACTATTAAATAGCCACAATAATAAATTTTTGTAATTTAAGGTGCTAAATTTAAATAGCTCAATATTGGTGCTTATTAGACTTTTTACAATAAAAAACTTTTTTTATGAAAAATGCTTTCTCCAGAAAATAATGTTACAAGTCCTTGCAACGATTCACAATGCGATGAAAGTGTGAGTTGAAATTAAATGATTTGTAAGAAAATCAGGAAACTCCCCCCCTCAAGTCTAAAAGAAACTAATTGAGTAGTTTTGGTTATTAACATTTAACCGACTACTTCCATTAAAGTCTGCAAAGGAATTTTTGATAAATCAAATAAAGTAAAAATTAAATTAGAAGGTCAAAAAAATTGATCAAGATAATTATTGGCAATTAAAATAATTCAGGCATCTCCTTCTTCAATGAGAGATATCGATAACCAATCGAGGGCATCTACACGCGAACACAATAATCACTCGCCACATCGAAATGACGATCTTTCTTCGTAAATTTTTTATTTGAATTTATGTATACTGTACATTTAAAAAAGAATTTTTTGTGAATTTTTGTTTAAAAATTTGGAGAATGTTTTTGTTTGGATGTGCGCCAAAAGCTTTATAAGAACAATAACGTCAATTTTGGCGTTTTGCATTTATTGTGCTTGAAAAAGTTTTGGTGCACAGCCAAAAAATTATTTTTAATTAAAATTCTGTAAAATTTTGTAGAGATGATCCAGCTGAATTTTCTTCTATGCGATCTCACTCTTCATTAGCAAATATCTCTGCCAATATAGAATTACATCCTCAAAATGACGCTTTGGGTGGAGGAACGTCCAAAAATAAATTTATTAAACGTCCATTAAATGCTTATATGATTTGGACAAGACAGGAAAGAAAAAGAATTTTGGCAGATGATCCAAAAATGAAAATGAATGAAGTTAGCAAAGCGGTAAGTTTTTTGTTTTTATTTTTAAATGTGTGTATTTGTGTTTGTGTTGTATAAAAAATTAAAAAATGTCAGATTCAGATGGGAGAAAGATGGAAGAAAATGACCGATAAAGAGAAGAAACCTTTCTTTGAGGAAGCAAAAAAACATTCGGAGGAACACAAACAGGTAGGGAAAGAAAATTTTTAAGGGGGTTAGAGCTTTGGAATGGTTTGGTTACCTGGTAATGGTGACTCTGGACCTCTTTTGTTTGATTGTTTTTCAGTTAGAAAAATCTCAAATTTTTTTATCTACACAGAGAATTCCATGAATAGAATATTTTTTTTTCAGACTACAAGGCCCCCATTAATATTTTAAAAATATTTAATTTTGATTAAAATGTTTCCTTTTAATTTTAAGGTCCTTCAAGAACACCCAGAATTTCAATATGCCCCCTCAAAAAAGAAAGGACCCAAAAAAGCGATAGACGGTTCTGTAAAGGGCGGAATTCAACAACAATCTTTGGCTGATTCTTCCTCTTTAAAATCATGTACAGCAACACCTGAAGCTTCTCGTAGCACAACACCTAATAGGGGAGCTGCTAATCTTATTGCTCCACAACGTAAAAATAAATTAACAAAATTATTTTTAAAAATCTATTTTTTAGCAATTACACAAAATCAAGTATTTTCACCTTTTCAATGTTTGTTTTTTTTATATTTTTTGAGCTGGATTGGGAAATCCATTTTTTGGTGTTTCTTTCCCAAGTACAGTCCCTCCAATAACACGAAAACATTGTAGTG